AGTTAAAACAATCCTTTAGGGAACTTGTTTACAACTTTGACAGAAAGCAACTTTTAAGATAGAGGACTACTTGAACTATTTGTGGCTGATTATTTCCCCTACAAAGCATACAACTTATTAAATCTTTTTTAAAAATCCATATTTATCAGGGTCTTCAAATTAAAAGAAAAATGAACAGATTTGTTTTCAAGGTTCATTTGTAATTTGAATTAGATACCTGATTTCATTAGTACAGCTAGAGCTATTAAGTAAAATCCACATATTATTAAGTTGTTCCACTAAGAGAAATAGATGGCATTTGATGATATCGATAATGTCAAAATATGTGGTGATTTAGCTTTGATCTATAAAATATTACCAGTGGCAAAGTTTTGAATGATAACACTATGGTAGATGGCTGAATATCCAGAGATCAGACTTAGTTTGGGGCGGTACTCACTTTATCACTGCAGCTAAGTTTACCAATAAATTCTAGTTTTAGACTGCTTTCCCTTTAGACCACTACATTAGTTAAGATGATTTTGCCTATGGTAATGTGAAACCCAATGTAACCTTTCGTAAACAATGAAGGGAATTTGCTGGCTTAGGTAACAAAAAATTAAAGGCAGGATAGTGATCAAATGTGGTTCAATTAGGGCGCTGGTTTAATTTCTAATTTATTTTTGGCTCTGCCTTCCTCTATGTGTTGGCTTTATCCTTATGCTGATAGAGAGCTGCAGCAATTCCAGGTCTCTCAAGTACACAGGACATTTATCTCTTCCTTAAGAGTAAGGAAAACCAACTTTTCACAAAGCCCCTATAATACTGCCCTTGATTTTCACTAGTCTGTATTGGGTCACATGCTATTCCTGTGGCCATGGTAATACTATGCCTTAATAGGAGAAGATCCAGGTTCCTTACCAATTTTTTTAAAGGCAATGACATTATATTCACCAGTGTTTTTCAAACTGGTGGATCATAACCCAAAAATGGATTATGAATGGGTCCTAATCATTTTAAAAATTAAATAATTTGAGGTTGCACTGCACATATGAAGGGTTAGTACTGTTTTATGAAAACTTGATGTTCACACATATACACACCTGGATTATAATGTAAAATGTTTCTTATTGTGAATTGAGTTTTAAAAGAAGCTTGACAGCTACTATCTTAGACAAACTCCTAATGTTGGAGTGGGGTCAGGTTTTGTTTAAGTACATGGATTATGCAGGGGAAGAATAGATACTTGAAATCAGGGAATGATTTGGGAAGGAAAACAGATGCTGGGGAAATAGCAATTTCCACTGCAACCTGCCTGACACTTTAGTTATTATTTAATCGATACTGAATTTTAATATAGTCATAACCAAATATTTTAGTTTTTCTAACGTTTTCTAAGTTTCAAAGTACACATCCCTTCTGAAAAAGCACTTCATTTCTTCCATTCAATAAGTATCCATGATGAGGGAATTTATACATTTTATCATTTGGTTGATGGACAGTATTACGGTAAAAGATTCATTCAAAAAGCTAGGCTTCTAAGAAAAAAACATTTATATTTCAAATAACTGAACATATCTTATCACCCTAATCTTTATTTGGGTTTAAATTTTGATGTTATTTGACAAGAACTTTAGGGTTCTTTCTGAAATTCAACCTCTTTCATTAAATAAATAAATAAACTAAGGCCTACAGGGGATGAACTTATCTAAAGCAGTTAATTAGTTGTACAACACAAGTCTCTTGCTACCTGCTTCAGAATTCTTTCCATTATACCAATTAACAGTGCAGTTATACTAACTTTAAAAGGTGACTAACAAACATGCTTAAGTTTCAGAGGCACCTCGATTTACACAGCTGATAGATTCAAGAGTTGTAGGTGATCTGTATTTTCGGGAGTAAAATTGCACTTTTAAGACAACAGAGGAGCTTATTAAAGAAATGTTGAAGTTTTGAAAGGCAAGTTACTGCCTTACATGTTTAAGTGAGGCTAAGGATTTTAAAGCTAATTTTCATGTTATAACACAAACTGTATTTCACATTAATACTTGACCCTTTAAACAGCGGTTCGATTCCCCGCCCGAGCTGAGCAGCAGCTGAGCTGCCAACAGGTGGCAGGATGGCTCAGCTTAAAAAAAAAAAGATATTAAAGCAGCGGATTGGGGGAGTGGGTTGTCACTTCAAGGGGTAAAAAGTATAACCATTGCACTGTGTTGTACAGCTAAAACTAATTTGAAAAAATATGTATTACAATGAAAGAAATTAAAGCAATTTCAATTACTTGAAATATAGGGATTAAAACTGTTAAAAGTCCTTTTGGGTTGCACACATTAGTGAAAATTTACTGTTCCATGCACAGGCAGGGAGGGTAGCCGTCATTTGAGGGTGCCATGAGAATATCTACAGGCCCTACCATCTTTTCCATTAGTAAGTAGAATGCTACCCATATCTTCCCTTAAGAGTTGTTTTCTCTTTTGTGTGAAAGGGTTTGTCCGAGGCTTCCCTTTAGCTCCATAGAGTCTCTAGTATTTGGAGCGTTAGGGAACACTGGCAGAAGGGTAACCAAAGGGCTTTGAAAGTCCAAAAAAAAAAAAAAGGGAGAGTGACAGTGCTCAAGACTTTGTTTGCTTTGGTTTTATTTAAATGCTGATTCTGAATGGCAGGTAGGGCTTAAACATAAAGGAAAAGAATTCTCTCTTTTGGGATTCAGTTATGGTAACTACAGGTTAGGGTAGTAAGTTGCTGTCTGGCACTAGACTTGCCTAACATCCAGCAGTACCAGGCCCGTCTTCAGGGGCTAAAAGTCCACTCACTAGCTGTGCAACGTATCCATAGGTTAGTCCTGATAGTTTACAGAACAGGTGAGAAGTTGGCATCAAGAACCAAGTTGGGTACGGTCGGCATTAAAGAATCAGATAGCAGGGTCCCAGTCAACAGACTTGGGTTTAAATGCAGGAATTTAGACTTTTAGAGGTTAGGGAGGAAAATTGGAAAGCACAAGAGGTCTTATACCTCAGAGGTTGAAATCCAGGAGAGATAACCTAATCAAGTACTCGGGTACAGCAATCACATTAAAGGGTATACGTAGTTATCAGACTTGAGGTATGTATCAGTCAAATGTAAACATTGACATTATACATGCTTCTCGAACTGGAGTAGATTTAATTCTGGGATTAATGACAAAAAGTATTGCATGTATGAGTTATGATGATGACTCTTTTGGGGGAATTTTACTTGATAGCAATTCAATCCCTATTTTGATGTATTTTTATATTAAAGTAAGCATATTTTGCGGTAGACAGCAAGTTGTGGTTGATTTAAAAAAAACAACAACACAGAATTTCAAAGAAATGTCCAGATTTTAGTAAAAAGTTTTAGCTATACTCTCAAGTCACTATTTGATGCTTAGAAACATTTGAAAGGCAGTAACTGCAAAAAGTACTGTTTGGAAAAGACCAATTTTAAACTAAGTTCTGCTACTTATTGTGTGACCCTGGGCAAATTAAAAAATTACATATCTGTCAGGATTGTTAGAAAGTTTATAAATAACATACAGGGATCTGGTAAGGTATCTGACAGATAAATAGGTGCTTAATGTGACAAAGGGGAAAAAAACCTGGCAAAAATTGCTTAATCTTGCTGCCTCAGGTTAAGTCAGGTCCTATCGCCTGGAGGGCTGTTAAGTGTCCACAGGGAATAAAAACTCAAGGCTAGAAGTATGAGTGTGGACTGAAGTTTAACTGGGACATAGATGGATATGGCAGGGAACTAATATATGTTACATACCTATTCCTGATCACCCACTGTTAGTTTTTTATACATTCTCATTGAATCATAACCCTTTAAAGAAGGCATAATTAGAATCTCACAGATAACTGAGGTTCAGGCAGGCTCAACTGCCCAGTATTAAATTGCTAAGTTGAGCAGTGGAGCAGGTACCTGAACCTAGTGATTCTACTACATCCTACGAGGTACTCCTAAGCCCCTAAATGGGAGATAGGTCTGAATTGGTGGGATTAAATAATGGCTATCTGCAGTAGCTCTGGATTACAGGAGTAACACAAAACATTTAACACTGAGTTGAGCTGTGTTGTGTGATGTGCAGAGAGAAGCCTAGAGACAGGAACGTCAGAAAATATTCCTAATATTCTAAGAATAAATTGA